GTTTAAATTTTTTATATGCGTCACTTTTTGTTCGCATCATGAGTTTTATGTTGAATGTTCGCCAAGGAGCTGGTGGCTTGGTAACTCGAATGTTTCTGACAGGAGCATGCAAGTTGAAGGTGCACAAGATATTAGAGCTCAGGAAGTCAATCATTTGATCCACATCTCTCAACGTATACAGGGTTATCCAAATTAAGTGTCCACCATTAGTAACTTTGTTATTAGTGAAAATACAAAGTTGTTTGAATTAGCAAACTAGTAGCATTTTTAACGCTGGTAAAAATGAGAAATAAAAAAAAACAATTGAGAGTCGTTATTTTGATTTTTTTCAGTAAAATAACATTTTTTTAAATGGAAACCCCTGTATATTATATTTTTTTCTGTTAAAGCATCAAATTTTAAACAAAGAAGCTTACAATAACTTTTCTCCTAGGTTACAAATTGTTGAAGTTATGGCCTCCAATCTGAAACAATTAAATTGTATCGACAAACTTTATTTTCAACATCAACTTATAATCTTACAAAATACAATAACAATTTTTTTTAAAGAAGATGCTCGAAAACACCACCTTGTCCTTCAATACATTTTTGGGCACGTTTTTCAACTGCTCGAACTGTCTTAAGTATGGTCCTACCATCTATCTGGGTTATCTTTTCCCTAACTGCAGTCTTTAACGCGTCAAGGTTATCGTACCTTCGCTTGTAAATTTGGTTCTTTAAGTAACCCCACAATAAGTAATCAAGTGGGTTTAGATCTGGTGATCTGGGAGGCCACTGTATTGGGCCATTTGTTCCTATCCACTGATCATTAAAAGTAGTACTTAGAAAATGTTAAGTACCTCTGGAGTTGTGGGCAGGTGCGCCATCTTGCTGAAAATGCAGATGATGTCTACTTATAAGATCCAATTCGTCTAAGAAATTAGTCAGAATTTCTGACATTAATTCCACATATCTTTCACCAGTTAGGGTTCCCTCATAAAAGAACGGGCCAACAATTTTTGAACCAATTATACCGCACCAAACGTTGAAATTGAAACGGACTTGTGGGCCTCTTGGATGTACTAACAAAAGATTTTCTCTTGACCAATAATGGTGGTTTTTTCTATTAAACATTCCAGAATTTGAAAAATTTGATTCATCTGTCCATAAAAGGTAACGAAAGTTATTTACATTTTGGCGACAGAAGCTAAGATACCAATGGCAAAAAACAAGTCTTCTCTCTGGATCCCCTGCCAAAAGCGTTTGAACTGGTCGGTACTTATACGGAATAAATTTGTATTTTTTTAAAATCCTTTGAACAGTACCATAACTGAAATTAGAGTCCTTGAGAATATCTGCTATTGAATTCTCACGATAAGCTTCAAAATATCCAATAACTGCAATTTCCGTGGCCTCGCTTATTATGAATTCTTTTTTTGCCCTTGTTTTAGCAAAAACATTTTCGTTGCCCCTAAATTTTCGATAAAGTCTCAGAAAATATCGTTCATACGGTTGAATGCGAGCGGGATATAATTCACTGTCTCAAGGAGGATTTTCTGCACACTAAATAGCATTCTAACATATCGCACTTTTCTTCATGGGAGAACATTTTTCTTTAAATTAATGACACAATAAAGCTTATAAACAAGTATTTTTCTATTTTCTCTATTCTTTTCCTTCATTCCTGCTACCTGTAAGTACGCCACTGGAGTTTGAGGATAATATCGTGGGCGTATACAACAGCTCTCTTTTTAATTATCTCTTCATTGTGGATCTGAGGACGGACCTGTCAACGTAACAATACCGGTGGTGCTCCAGGTCCCAAGTGACATGTGAAAAACGCAACTTTCAACTTTTTCATTCCGGGAGATGTTTTAGATATCCTGAGGGACGTATGTTTTGAACTTCACGCGATATCTGGGATTCTAATCATTTATATAGACGTAAAACAGCATGACAGACATGTTTAGGGGATTTTCATTACGTCGGTCGGATTTGAATGAGAAAAAGCTTTGTAGCTTTTGAAAATCGGTAAAGTGGCGGCAGAGAAAAAAGCAAAAACTAAAAAAATAAAGGTCGCTTAGTCTTTCGACGTTTAAGGACCTTGATCATGTTTGAACAAAACTTTCAGAGTAAAAAATTGAGGGGTGTAGGACAGGGACAGAATGTCTATGGACTAATTCCGTTTAACTTTTATGTTATATACAGGGTGTAAACGTTATGATAGTCATTATTTAAATGGGTGATAGATGGGGCTAAAAGAAGCAAAAAGTTTCATATAACATGGGGGTCAAAACGGTATTTTTTTAGAGAAAATCGAATTTAAAGTAAAATAAAATCTGACAACGCCGTAATGCCAGACGCAAATTACGACCAGACGCAGTGTAAATAAAGATGGAGTTTGTTATTTTTGACTCTTAGGTATTATTTCATTATTTGATAATGTACTCGTAAAATGCAAACAATTAAAAAAAACGGACTTACCACTAACTGTCTCAGTGCTTCACCTGGTGTGTGAAAGTTTATTGAAGGTATTAAAAAAATCCACTTATAAATAGGGAACACAAATTTGATACATACATTGTTTTTCTTTCTAAAACCCACACTGCACTTTTTTGTATTTGAAGAAGGTGTTTAAAATGTCATCCTCCACTTTCCACACAAGCTTCATTACGACCTTCACGAATGGTATGAGGATTTTCTTGGGGCCACGTGTGAGTATTATGGAAATTTAATATCCCGTCTCGCGTAAAAGTACATTCGTCCGTCGCTAGAATGTTTTTATAAAAATCCGTATATTCAATGTTTTTGTGCAAAAACCACTGACAGAATGTTAGTCTGCGAGGATAGTCTTCTGGTAACAAGGCCTGCACTCGTTGTACATGGTAGGGATAAAGCAAATTTTCCCGTAGGATTCTATGGACTATGGTATGCGATAGTCCTACGCGGCGGCCTAATTCCTGAGTGCTGATATCTGCATTGATTTCCACGATATTTAAAATTTGTTTCTCCTGCACTACAGTAACCTGTCTTTCACGAGTGCGAATATTAGTGGGCTGAACACTTCCTGTATCTCGAAGTCTTTGGTACACTTGCACAAATGTCCTGTCTGGGTGTACCCGTTGGCGAAATCTGTCGCGATAAATTTGAGCTGCAAGATTTGAATTCTGACGAGCTTCACCGTAAACTAACAACATATAGGTGAACTCTTGATTCGAGATCATTGTAAATCAAAACGACGACGTACGCGAACAAAAACAAAACAACATACTAACCACTGTTACCGTTTTCGATCGATTTCCGGTTCGAGAAGAGTGATGATGACCGACGCGCTGTTGTCATGTGTGTTTTAAATATTCAATTTAATGAAACTTACTTACTTACTGACTACAAATTTTGGCTTAACTTAGAAAAACTTAAATACCATTTATTTGTTAATTACAGAATTTAAAAACGTTTTAGATTAGATTATAAAAATTAGTAAGATTGTGGTGATTGTGGTCGATATAAAGCACTCAAAGTTGTAAACTATAAAGCCATTTAGAGAAAAATCTATTGTTTGGACCATGGGTCATATGAACTTTTTGACTTGTTTTGAGCCCCCCCTATTACCCATTTCAGTAATGACTACCATAACGTTTACACCTTGTATGTTCGTAACTTTTTTCCAGAGAGTCTAACTTATGCTGAACATGATATTTTATGAACAGATGACGGCATTGCTTGCTTGATGTCATTCTTAAAACTACAATAGAATGGTCGATGTTTTTTGAAGCAATAACTAAATGGTCGACGTGTTAAACAAAAGGAAACTCTAATTTTTGGAGAAGAAACATATTTTTGACACAAAAGTAGGACTACCATCGTTATAGTGACTTATGAGACCTCCTTATTATATTTTGCTACTATCACAAAGATCAAGGACAGATTGATTTTCTTAAATCTTGCATCTGAGAAGAATTTTTAACTCTCTAATGCTCATATCTCGGGAAATGTTTATTATGAATGGTTTTTTTGGGAATGAATGGTTCAATTGAGGCTAATTAGTTAAAATAAAGTGATTTTGTTTTACTTCCACACACATACATGGAATAATATTTGGTCCCATGGGGACGAATGAAAGACGCAAGTGGGGTACAAATTTACATAAATTATGAAATTTATTTATACTGACTTTGAAGTTGAGTCATTAATTTTCAGATAATGATTGTAGAAGGAAGATAAACCAAAATATGTGTGTAAAAATAAAAAAAAAATAAAAAAAAAATTTACCTTGTTTTATAAAGTATCCTCCCGACAAGTATTTCAGTGCGGACCTGTATTTGATCGTGCGGTCTTGGAGAACCGGCATGCCCTCTCCTGTAAGGTCTTAAGTCACTTGATTCACGAGCCCGTTGAACTACATTAACAAAGGCACGAGGGGTTGGTTGTACTCGATTGGGAAACCGATCCGCATAAACATGTGCCATTTTTTATTTCGTTTGAGCCACGCAGCAAACACCACTATTCACTCACGCGTTACCGACTGACACATTGACTGAATAAAAACATCGTGATCAGCGTTTCAAATTCTTTCGATTTTTTGTTTCCGATGCGATGAACCGAAAAGGCGGATTATATACGTTGTTGCCAAACACGAGCACATAATATTATTATTGAGACAGGACGGTACTCAAACTTTTAAAGGGCTATAACTTTGTTACTTTAATTTTACCACAAAAATGTTAAAGGAACAAAACATTTCTTTTGATCAGATCTACTCACTGTTAAAATAAATGACTCAACTTCGAAGTATGAGAATGAGTCTTATCATAAATTCCAAAAATAAGAATGTTTGTACTGGGTACTGGATTTTCGCTTCTGGGTTCATAATAAAGTTTAGTTTTATTTCAAATTTTATTTAGGATCAAGTGTTTACTTACAGAAAAAAGTATTTTTGAAACTAAGTCATGTTTCAATAGAAACAACTACATCATCGTTTAATGATCTCCGCAGGTAAGCTAAGCCCCCTGGGGGAATCTGTCATATCAAACTTGTAAAATAAATATAATTACTCCATACAACATTAATTGATTATTTGAAAAAAATACATTCAAAAAACGAATCTTAATATGGATAATACTAAACATACCTTTTAGATTCCATTGTAAGCAATAATAGAAGCCAGTATCAAAAGGGCGCGAAATACGCTCAAGAGAACAACTTCATCCACGTTTCTACCAGCTAAGGAGGTTTTCTCTGCAAATCGATGTTTCCCTTCATCTCAGTGATGAGAATGATCGACTTCAACTTAAGGCAGAATTTTTGAAAAAATATTGAAAATTGGTCCACTCTGGGGACCTTGGGAATTGACGGGTTGAATAACTCACAAAAAATTTGCTCATAACTTTGCCAACAATGCATGGTTAACGAAAAAAATGATTTTGAACCGAATTATAATAAAAAAGGGGGTGTGATCTTTCAGTAATAAATACCAATATTTATTAAATATTTGATATAATTATTCACTATCTTGATGCAATAGTACATACTAAACATGAGGCAGATATATAGGAAACCCCGCACTAGAAGCAAAATCGTGATAAGCATAAATCGAAGCTGCTCTTATTATCGCATTGTGGTGCAAACTCCCTTGTAAAGAAGAATATGGAGGTAAGCTTGGTAAGCTCTGCAGATACGGTTGTGGTCTTGATTGTTGTAGACAAAAATCGTCCTGAGGTCGAGTCATTTTCTGGCTATTCTGCTGGTAAGCTACTGATATCTTGTCTGAAGATGGTATTGAAATCGTAAAGGGCAATGTTGAATACTGCTCCGAGGTTACGGTTGTTAGTGATGTTACTGGAGGTATCGTACCTGTAAAAGAATTAGTATTATAAAACCTCAATTGTTTCAAGGAACTAATCTTAGTTGGGCTTAAAAATAACAAATTATCATAAAATATAATTGTTGGAGTCTACAGTAAAGCTCCACCCTGCTTTTCGAAATGAGACTTTGACTACCAGTAAAGACTTCATATACAAAATAGATACTTGTGAATGAGCGTGTTTCCTTCAGGATATGATAAAAAACCTTAAATGCAAAAAATGTCACTCTGTATACAGGGTGTTTCCTGATTGAATGTTAATATTTGTTTTTGGGTAAAACGTCTCTAGTCAACGTCTTAACTTTTGAAATTTATTGTGATGAAATTTCTAAAATAAAATGTTATCCCTTGTTAAGTCACGGCTTTCTCAGTGTGGTGATATTGTAACAATCAAGTCATCAAATCTGCATAGAAATGATTAGGGATTCCAAAAATCGTTTTTATTGTGGAAAAAATTAAAAAATGTAGTGAATCAGAAAATGCTTCTTGATACACGGTGCATAACCTATGCCAAATTTCATTAAAATATCTAAAGTGGTATAACGGATAATAATAGTAAATGATTTAGGCTTGAAAACTTGACAACCCTGTATCTCAAAAGTTAGGACGTTTAGGTCATACTCGTACATTCATATGAGGTTTTCTTCTTGAAATAGACTCATAAATCGCCCGCTTGAATATTCACATTCCATTAGGAAACACCCTGTATGTGTTGACAAAAAACAAAGTTTTTCGAGGTTTTTCAATCTCTCTAATTACCAGAAAGTTAGGTTTCGGTCTCAAGTTATAGAAAAAGCTCAGTCAGGAACTAGGCTCGGTGGCTTATTTTTATTTTGAATTGCCAACAGGCTATACTCACTGCTTTGACTGCAAAGATTCCGGCAATTCTCCACTTGTAAGCCTGATTGTGCCTTTAGACAATCCTTATCAATTTTCGGTTTTCTTCTAGGTCTATATTTGTAATCAGGATGTTCTAACATATGTTGACTACGAAGTCGTTTTGCCTCATCTATAAACGGTCTTTTTTCAATTTCAGATAGGAGTTTCCACTCGGCTCCCAAAAGCTTAGAAATTTCGGAGTTGTGGAGTCGAGGATAGTCCTGTGATATCCTTTTTCTCCTCATTCTGGACCATACCATGAAAGCATTCATTGGTCTCTGTAATAATTAAGAGCCGTAACATACGTTAATAGCGTAACAATTCTTGCTTAATCCCGTTAGTGCACCAAAAGTAGCTTAAAAGAATTTTGGAAGAAGTCCGGCATACATTTGAACTTTTGTGTAAGTCCGTTTAGAAAAGAAGCTCTGTACAAAAGTTACAGGGCTCAGCATAAAGTTTTTCACGTAATATCTTTTTTGTCTACAGGGTTTTTAAACAATTATAGCCATTTTACTTATTCCAAATATCTATAGTTTATTTACTTATTTATTTTTATTGATTTATTCCAAAAGTTTTGGGTGTCATTTAATTATACTCGGTGTAACAAAAATAACAAATTGACTCTGTATTTTTCCAGCTAAGGCATTTTTGGAAAAGAACAAGGCTAGGTCTTTTCCAACTTTGAACAAGTAGTTGGACTTAGTAGTGTAGCATTTATTTTGCCGAAGATACATGAAATGTATATACAGGGTGTTAATAAAGTATGTTGACAAACTTTAACCATCGAATCCTTGGTCAATTTGAAGACTAAATGTTCATATGAACATGGGATGTAACGGCTTTCTTTTCGAGCTAGAGCACTATCACTAAAGAAATACGAGTAATGTTCCAAATATTTCAATGAATACTGAAACGTATTTATTGAACAGTTGGTGTTTTACAAGTTGCTGAGGCTCAATATGATCGTGGATGAAAATAGTATTATCCTGTATTTTTGGAAAAAAAATTATTTAGATGGTCAATAGTTTAGAACAGTAACAGAAAATATGCAAGTAGTAGACAAAAATCTAAAAACGTATAGGTATAGCACAACAAGAATAATAAATTATAAGGTTGGGCACATATTAAATAAATAAAGATCAAAAACACATGCATTAGACGAAAAATTAGAATGCATTTATGTCTTTTGATTTAAGATAGCCTACAACCATAATACAGTGAAGTTTGTAAGCACAGGGCACAATTAACAAACATTTCTCAATAAAAATAGGCTTGCCTAATGATTCGCTCTTGTCCAACACAATGCATACAGTCCACTTTTTTAGACCATGTTTGTCAATGCAATTTTTAGCTGGTTGAGGGAATAATAGGCGCTGTTTAAATTGTTGAACACGATACTTCAAAACACCATGTAACATACTCTACAAAGTTCTTGAATGCTTCGTTTATATGCAGATTATAAATAGGAAGACAGTAATTTTTATTCAAACGATAGGCACAGGTACTATGTAAGAAAACCTAAAAAACGTCTAAAAAAACTTATAAAATGTTATCTTGCAAACTAGATAGTTTTTTGGGGTGCGAACAGTCATTCCACGTCTGCTCACTAGGATCGTTGTGAGCGTCCATCTATGGAGGAATAGCTCAACTATATGCATTGTTGGTTGCATATGTTTTGTGAAGCCGAGTAGTCTGTTTTCATTTCTGAGAAGAAAGTTGGTTGAATAGCAGGATCGCATGTGGATGATTGAGTGTATTGGTCTGCATGTGTATAAAATCAGTGATATTTGCTGTGTGAGAAAATCATTACTGAATATGCTGCCAATGATGTATATCTATTAGCTGTGCCGCACTGGTTATTTATATGTTGTCCTTTCTGAAAACAGGTTACGTTCAAAGTAATAAATTACGATTTTTTACGTTTTTTTTTGTTTTCGAAACCTTGATTATTACGAAAAACTTTGAGGAGAATTACAGGAAATCATCACCGCGCCCGCGTTGTGTGTAATTAATGTTAGCATGTATATGACATGTAATTTGTCAGTGTACAGTGGATATAATTATTCCTTATCTTTCTCATTTTTGAAATTCAGCAAATTTGCAAATGTAATTTCCAGAATGGATAAGAAAAAGTGGATGCGCAACTAATTTCTAGCTTTGAATCTCAAGTAAGTGCATTTGAGGCAAGAATCCGATGGACTCATGATCAAGACAAATTATTAGCACACAGATTCACAAAATGCATTTATGCATTGCCGTTACCTCCAGTAATGCCATCTCTGAAGCAGATGTTATATCACTGAAAACTGAGGCCTCACGACGTTTAGGCAACAATACAACTACTAAACGAGTTCACAACGTGTCCATCAGCTAGTGTTAAGTTAACATCTTTTAGAAAAACCTACATAATGTCACAAAATAAAAAATAATATAATGTCAAAAAAAATTTACATAATGTCACTTTCAAGAAACGTAATACCCGTGCCGAATTCATTAATATTTTCTACCCCCATACATCGCCTAGTGGCAGCCTTACCCAAATTCATTTTATCCGCCAGTTGTAGCACAACTTTGACAACCTGAGCAAATTGGTCAGCGATGTGTTGGGCCTAGTACGATTCATGTTACATTGGATACTGTTTGAAGGTAAAGTGGTAAACATATCGTCGGTCTCCGCACGTACAGGCGTAAATGACAAATAACACTGGTCAACACTGGTTTTGCCACACGAACTTTGACAGCTAATTTTGTTTTATCAGTCTACCCTCATTATTACATGACAGCTGTCATATGTCTATTAGCCTCATATTTGTTGTGATACGGTAATACTCATAACTAGTACTACGGCAGTAAATTAACAGAAACGCTTACAAGTAAATCCTTATAAAAATATTTGTTGTTGAATTTGAACACTTTTTTGTGATTTATTAACCCTGTGAATATGTCGAGGAAGTGTAATAATGATCCTAACTCTTTTTGTTATGTCTGCGGAGAACTAACATTCAAAAAACGACGAAATTTTACGAATCTTGTCTTGGAGTGTTATCACCAATGTTTTGGTTTTTCTGTCGCCCATCAAGACAAATCCTGGGCCCCTCATGTCTGTTGCATAACGTGTTTGAAAAATTTAACTGACTGGAAGAAAGGTGCACGACCTATGCCGTTTGCTGTACCCATGATATGGACTGAACAGCGAGATCACGTTTCAGATTGCTATTTTTGTCTCACAGACATAAAAGGTATAAATTACAAGAAAAAAATCACAGTTATTTACCCTAACTTATCTTCGGCTATAAGACCAGTCTCTCATTGTGAAAAATTGCCAGAACTAATACCAGTTGCAACTACGTCTGTTGAGAACAATTCACAACCGTCCACTTCAGGTGAATGTGTTGACGAGGACGATGACTTTGAGTTAAAAGGAATTGTAAACGAGCCACATTTGATAACTCAAGGAGACCTAAATGATTTGGTTCGGGATTTAAATTTGTCAAAAAAGCAGTCAGAACTATTAGGATCACGTCTAAAAGAATGGAATTTGCTACATCATAATACAAAAGTTAGCTATTTTCGAAACCGTGATCAACGCTTCAGAACGTATTTTTCTCAGGATGGAGATTTATTGTTTTGCAATAACATAAATGAGATTATGAAAATGTTGGACATAGATTTTGATCTCTCTCAGTGGCGTTTATTCATTGATTCTTCGAAAGCAAGTCTAAAAGCAGTGTTATTGCATAATGGAAATAAGCTTCCGTCTGTACCTCTGGCCCATGCTGCAAATATGAAAGAAACCTATAAAAATATAAAACTTTTACTTGAACAAATAAATTACAGTACATATTCCTTCAAAATCTGCGGTGATCTTAAAGTTGTTGCACTATTACTTGGACTTCAGCTGGGTTATACAAAGTTTTGCTGCTTTTTATGTGAATGGGATAGCCGAGACAGAACTAATCACTATATAAAAAAAACATGGCCTACGCGTGCATCGTTAGTTCCTGGGCAAAAAAACGTAAAGTATTTACCCCTTGTACAGCCAAATAATGTGCTTCTACCACCATTGCATATCAAATTAGGATTAATGAAAAATTTTGTGAAGGCAATGGATCGCAATGGGAGTGGATTTTTGTATCTAAAAGAAAAATTCCTTAAAATTAGTGATGCAAAGATAAAAGAGGGTATTTTTGTTGGCCCTTAAATTAGGAAGTTAATAAAAGATTCAAGATTTGAAGAAAAATTAAGCGATTTAGAAACATCTGCATGGAAGGCTTTTAAAAATGTTGTTTCAAATTTTTTGGGTAACCACAAGAGTGACAGCTACAGAGAGTTGGTTAGCGAGCTATTATTGTCATATCAAGCATTGGGTTGTAACATGTCACTTAAGATCCATTTTTTAGACTAGCACCTGGATTTGTTTCATGACAATTTAGGGGCTGTCAGCGACGAGCACGGTGAGAGGTTCCACCAGGACATTTCTAATATGGAAAAGCGGTACCAGGGCAAATGGAGCCCAAATATGTTAGCAGGTTACTGCTGGACAATTAAAAGGGACCAACCAGAAGCTAATTATTCAAGAAAATCTTAGATTATTAAGTCATTTATAAAAAAAATAACTTTTGATTTACGAGATCTGTGTTTTTTCTTAATATTTTAAATTACTCAATAGAATAAAATCCTTGTCTAGCAAATTTTTTTACTATTTATTTTTTCTTACAATCACCAATTAAAGTAAAAAATATCAAAAAAGTCCGTGTGGCACGACAAAGTTAAAATTTTCTTGACCAGTGTAATCTAAAATCGAGTTACACCGTAATTTCACAGATTTTTTTGTAGTCTCTTACTTCAAGAGGTGACGTAGCTGTATATCAGTTCGCTGCTAAGAATTAAAATTTTCAGAAAATTGCCTAAGTTATAAAATTCCGAAAACAATTTTCACGTCCCGGCTTAAATAGATTTACGCCTCTGTGTTAAAACTGGTTCTACATCACTTTAGTCTAACAAAAAGAAACAGCAACGTTCAGGCTGAAAAATCAGTATGTCACCTTCAATCTCATTTATTGCTGATTTTCGTTTTCTAGCTCTCCTGTAAAATTTGTAAAATGTTAGTTACGCCGGTACGTGCGGAGACCGACGACATAGTTCATACACGTTAAACTGGTATGACCTGTTTTATTGTTGTAGTTGATATTGGTAAATTTTGATTGAAATTGTACGACTCCAGTATATCTGAAGCATAGTATTCAAATTTTCTTTTTTCAAATAATCTATAATGAGGTCTCCTGAGCGAATTATAACTCTAGTTTTTGTAAATGATATCGATGAAGTCTTGTTCAGAGTATTTATGAGTATATCGATATTTCCAGAAGGAGGTCTGTAAGCCGAGATAATGTAGCAGGTACATTACTTATCTGCATTCCAGATCACACATTTCAATGTGAGCATTTACTAACAAATTTTTGACGAATAGTCACTCCTTAAAATTAATGGGATGCTTAGTCAGTATCAATGAACCGCCATAGATTCTTTGGGCCTCATCTTCAAGATTATATCAAGGTCAACTTTTGTTTTTTTAATGAAACGCCCCTTGAATGCCTCAACACCTACCGACGATTTACAGAGTTTCATCTCATTACTCAAGTAATTTAGGAGAAAATAAAATAAATGAACTTGAGCACCCTGTATAGCTCACTAACGAAGCCGTAAAATAAATACGTTCACATTTTGTCAAGTCTATCAGCTGATATAAACGGATACATAAACGAAATTAAGAAATAGAAACAAATGAAAACCAAAAGCCCACAAAATTAATAGGTAAACTTTTTCATACACGGTACTTTGAAAGCATTCCACATACGAATCTCAAAAATTCATTCAATGGACATGGGTTCTGAAGTTTTCGTCTTTTTACGTCTAACGGTACTCTACAAAATATACGAATTTAGTTCTGAATTCTCTTGATTGGTGCTCGCCACTCTAAAAATTAGCTTATACCAATAAAAGCAGCCACTATCCAGAATACAATAAACTATATTAGTCCGCACTAAAAAATTAGCAATTCCTACCTTGATGTGATCAGTGTGAGGCATAACTCGGAAACATACTGACGCATCATCAGTTTTGAAGGGATTGCGTTGAACGCTGTGTAAACACCGATTTAAATCTCTTTGTGAGATGGACAATACAGCATTGTCCACGAGGTATTGTCGCATTGGAAAAGTGCTTTTGTTCGAAATTAAATTCGCTCGCATTGTCCAGTTAGCACAGTAGGTTAGGCTCTAATAGATTTTATGTAATGGCCATATATCGCAACGCCGATACGAACGATTAGCCTTTTTATTTTATCAATCGTTTCAGTTTTGTACGGTAAACTTTTCAGCCAATTGTTCTATTGGTTAACAGAATTTTCTTTCATGGTGTTTTGTCTGTCATAACGCAACGTAGGGCACGTCATAAGTTTTGCCATACGAAAGAACTGAGAATTGTTTTTCAGGTGGATACGGATGCATAAAAAAATGGCGTCAGGCAGGTTGACTCTGCAGTTCTTACGTCGTTAGTTCATAAGGCATAAGTTCAGCACACGTTAAGACTCCTATGAAAAAAATATGATTATGTACAACAGAGAAATCAAATGGATCAAGTCAGTCAAACATGCTCATATAACCGGTTTATAGACATTATTTCCTTGACCTACCTGTTCCGTCCATCTGGAAACGTTGCCTCTTTCTATACTATCAGACGCGGCAGCGCCCACCGTACCAGTACGAGTAGAACAACCAAGCAAACGGTGACGCCGGGCCCAGGTAGCAGAAGGAGACGCATTTCGAAAACATTTATCTATCATTCTAAGTTTCAAAGTCAGATGTACGGGTAAACCTATAATGAGGGTTGGGAGCGTATAAATATACCAACATCAAAACATTGGGTGTTGCAAAATTATCCAGTGGTTTATGAACCGAAAATTAATAATTAACTTTGCTAGAACTTATTTCTTATCCTTTTAATCACTATCCAATCATCTTCCTAGTTATAACCACCTTCTCTTTAAGGTAAAACATAAAAATCTAATTTATATTTTGCATTATGAATTTATCTAGATTTCCATTTGAGATGGGACATACATATTACTTATATATTAAAGAAAATCAAATTCATAGCATATAAAATAAAATTTCCAACTGATATATGAACTAAATATTATCTACCGATAATACAGGACGTTTCACAACTTATCCGACAAATTTTTACCACATGCATTGTTACGAAGGAAGATGAGTCCTAGAGAAATTGAGATAATAAAATAATACAGTTTAACAGTTCACTTACTTATAAAAGCTGTTCAAAATTGTTTCCATTGACTGCAATGCAAGCTTGGGAGTGTCTAATCCAACTTCGGCGCACTAATTCAAATTCACCTCCTTCCTGCTGTGCCTGAAGGCTGAAATTATCAGCAGCCACTGTGATTCGGTCAAGCAATTCTTCAATATTCTGAGATGGAGTTTGGTATACCTCATTTTTCAAGTATCCCCATAAAAAGAAGTCCAGAAGATTTAGATCGGGAGACCGTGGAGGCCATGCAATTGGTCCACCTCTTCCGATCCAGCGTATCTGGTATACCCGATTAAAAAAATCACGAACTTCTAAACGAAAATGTGCCCAATCGTGCAGAAACGACATCCGTGCTCGGACCTCCAATGGCACATCTTCAAGAAGGACCCGCAAATCATTCCGAAGGAATTCCAAATACTGGTGACCATCCATCCGATCTGGCAATAT